CAAGTCCCGTGTGCCTGTAAATTTCAGCAGCGCACCCTTACCCTTCTAAACCGAAACACAGTCATGCTGACATTACTACTTGGCGGCAGAAATAGTTAATGTGGCAGTACCTACTACCCTGGACGACCTCTTTCACAAGGAGCTCTTCTGCTACTCAAATATTAATTTGATTGAATATGAAAATGTTTCACTATCATGATATTCATTTATTTTTTGTGAAATTACTCCATTACTTTGTTATAATTATTAATACATAGATGGATCACAAAGAAAAATTCCTTCGATTTAGCAGACCCGAACCATCTGTGTGCCAAACTAAGGCCACTGCTCTACCAACTGCACTACAAATCGAGTCAGCAGAATTTACAAACTTCTCCTAAGTGTTTTTTACAGATCTTTTTGTACTGGTTCATGTGAGAGATCTATGATACTACTCACTCAGCAGGTTATGACAATCTAAGGCAACACAATATGGTTGCCCTAGATTGGCATTACAGGCGCAGGTTCGAATCTAGTCAGATCGAAGGAGTGTTTCTTTGTGCTCGATCTTTGTATTAATAATTATAATATTATTTGTTACCTCTTCGAACTTACATACTGCTAAATAGTAACAAGGTAGTTGTAAAATGGTCCAACTTTGGATTTGGCTCGTTGTGAATAGAAAAATTAATACTATGCAATTCCGAGAGAGTGTCCGAACTTTAACCTTATTGAAAAATATATTGAAATGTAACCATAAAAATATATACTTAGGTATATTTCCACAACCATTATAGTATACAAACTGGGTCAGAGCAAATTAACCTTGACATTTAAAGATTTAAATACATATCGAGTTCTTAGGTTTTCGCGATTGTTACACATAGAAAATGAAAATATTTTTTTTTTTTTTTTATTTGTTTTTTTTTCAACTTTTAGATGTTAAATTGATTTCTTTTATTTTATTATTTTTATTATTATTACTAAACATTTTATTTCGAGTAACTTTAACACAACTCATATTTCGGACAACCGAATATTTAAATTCCATTATATATATTGACATTATTGTATTATTGTTATTATTTTGGATTTAATTTGTATTGAACCATGCCGATGACATTAAATTTGACATCGTTATTGTTATTGTATTATTATAATTATTTTGCACTAATGACTAGTTAATATATTAATTTATTTTCGTTTTGTTATTTGGATATGATGTCAGATTTTAATTGTAATTGTATTTTCTATTTTCCAACACAAACAATATTGTTAAGGAAATTAAATAAATAAATAAAAAATATACTCATAGATTAAACGTAGAGTATTTTCAATTTTTAAGTTTTTCTAATGAGTTCAAAATAAAAAAAGGTTGGATTGAAGCTGCAGGAAAATCGAAAGATAGGTTTTCTTATTACTATTTCTGACTTTGTTTCAATTTCCATAGCAAATGCATTTAAAAAATAAATAAAATAAAATCGGCTTTATTTTACTTGTGCATGCAAAATAAATTAGAAACAATTATAGAAAATTACATAAATCCTTCATAAAAAACAATATAATTTAATTTATTAAATTCGTTGATGGTCCGAGTTTACTCTTGACAGTGACAGCTTCACCAACCCGTGGTAACGTATAATGGAAAATTGACACTGGCGACGATGGCCATATTTTTTATATTATTCTTATAAAACTGACACTGGTCCAAGCCTAGTGGCCGCCATTAAGAAAATAATAATAATTTATATTAATTTAATAATACATCAGTAGCAGTGTAGATATAGTATGAAAAATGGAATATTTTTTTAATATTAAAAACAGCCACATGGTTTCCAACTATCGATTAGGTAGGACCACATCACTCGTTGAGTAGCGTCAGCTTATGGTTAACAATTCACGGATCGGTTTCGGTGCTGCTAGACAGCGGTTTTATTTCAATACTCATGACCCTGCAAGTTTGTGCGGGCACGTACGTAGCTGCCGCCGTTGCGGGTATGAAACCGTTGCGTTTGCGGAACGGACCGCGAATTTAATGGGAGCACCCTGCGTGCGCCTGCACCACATTACGCCTGAACCGACCGACAAAGTGTGCGCGTGACGACGTCCGCCAATCGCGTCCTGCGCGGTTCTACTAGTACCTTGCCGCGGCAACCGCGAACAACCGTACCGTACTACAGGCGTAAAACGCGCCGTGAAATGTGCTACTAATTTTACATACTTAACTGTTACATTCTACAGACGCGGGTGAAAACCGCTCCGTGAGTTCTTAGTGTAACGAAAAATGAGTTTCAGCGCCATCTAACGTGTAATAGTTAGCTATTGTATACTAGTAGTATTTTTACTAAAACGCTACCTACTCGTGAATGGCTGAACCAGGATGAAAAAATACTGAAATATTGTAATATAAATCTTATTCCAGTGACTGTAAGTTTAATTTTAAGATTGTTTTACGTTGTTTTCGCGTTTTAAGCCCTACCCAATCAAAATCTTTAAGTTATGGTAGTAGATAATAGAGCGTAAAGTTTGAATTGCACACAAGCTAAAAAGTGGCGTCATCGGCACCCGATCTTACATAGCGTCATTACATATCTCCCCTTTTTCTCTATATATAGGTATATAATCACCATTGATATATTATAATTTTCTTTCTCGACAGCTACTGCGATTATAAATTTACCCTATTTATATATAAAGTTAAGACATTCAATATTTCAGTTTATGATTTTAAAAAAATATAACCTCATCAGGTACTTTAGAATGAAATACCTTGCAATGTAATCGGCAATTTCCATCAAACTCTAATAGTTCCGAAGCTGTAATAAATAACACTAATTCGAATGGTACATTATAAGTCGCGTATTAGTAAAGTGTACATAACTTATGTGTACTGTACTTAACAAATGTATTTCCACGTATTGCATCCAGCGCGTCCATCATAGGTTATCGCATCTCTGTTTATAGCTACTCTGTGGCGCTGTGGACAAACAAGGAAGTGATCTTTGCCCGTTTCTGTAATACCTATATTGCTAAGTAGATATGTGGGAAGTATCGTGTTTTAGTACTCAAGAAACTTTATTTTACTAATCTAAGTACTAATAATGGAGGGAAACTCGAGTGCATAATTACGGTACCTATATTTTAGTTACCTTCAAATCATTACACATTTATTTAGTAGCAAACACAAATAGAAAAGAAGACAGATTACAAAATGCGCACAGTTGGCAGATTCTGCACGAATGTCCACGCAGGCCGCGACCTGCTTGGCCTAATTAATGTAATTGACATTTTTAGAGAAATAGAGTTATTCACATATCTGGAATAAGCGTAACTAGATCTACGACCACCTCTAATCGGTTTTTTAAATCTTATTTGATAGTTTATTGTTAAGCAAAACCAGCGTAATTGACATTTTCCAAACTTTAGATGCGAATATCTCGAAATTAACCAAAATTAGTAGTAATTTCGCGTTAGTTATGACAAGAAGACGGAATTCTCGGGAACGTTTCCGCGTCAACAAATAAATGTTTCAATAGGGTATTACCTATGCCAAAACACGCAAAATAGGCGCCTTGACGTCGAGTTGCGGACACTAGCCCGTTACACCAAGTACCAAATACCTATGCCAAAAAGTATGGCCACCTTGGATTCATTAGACAAGCGTGGCAAGAGGCGTATAGGTGACTTGGAATTAGTGGAGGCGAAGCTGCAGAGCCTTGAACAACGTCATAAAATCGACTGCTTATCGGTATTTTACAGGATATACGGCGAATGAGCGATGGAATTACACGATTTAATTCTGCCTTCCCCATTCCATCATCGGGACCAGACGTAGGCTGGGGTTCCACCCTTACGTTGTGGATATTCCAAAGATTCGCACGAAGCGTTCCGCTTCCTCATTTATATGGCGAACGACTATGGAGTGGATTTCCCTGCCTGCAGATTTGTTCCCTGAATGGTATAACTTGGACCTTTTAAAGACGAGAGTACATAGGCATTATTTAGGTGTGCATACTCCATCGTCGATTTCATCGTCACTTTCCATCAGGTGAGATAGAAGTCAAATGCGCACTTCTTTTTAATAAAAAGAAAGTATATTGACGTAGATCTGATTAAAAAAGATTAATTCGTATACGTAAATGGCAATTCTTCATTCTTCAAATACAAAAGTAAATATCGTGTACCGAAGCGATATGCTAAAACCACGAATTTTTTTCAGAAGCAGCAAAAACAAGTATTCGGCGGTTTTTTTTCTTGGAGAAGAGCCAAAATTGCCGCCGAACTAGGCTGTACAGCACATTAGAAGCTTTTTTTATTAATAAATTAATCTTTTATCAAAAGGTAGTGATTTTATATTATTTAACATTTTTAACAACACACAAACGTACAAACGCGCGCTCAGACAGGCTCAGACTTCTTCTGGGATTAGAACTCCGCGCCGTTTAATCAAGTGCTCAGAAGTAATTAAAATAAGAAATGTACTTTTTTTTTATATACAAAATATAAGTCTACATTTGACCTCCAAGTCACCTGATGGCAGTTTGGCACTAACTTGAATATGTTCATGCTAGCACTACGCTAGTAGCATGCTATACTAATTGCCAGATCTTGAGTTAACTTGTGTTTGTTGTAGAGTAACAATGTCATTTTTAGGTTGTAAGTTCGAGTATTTTCTTCGTGTCAGAGTTCTCCAACAGTGGAATTTACAAAATCATAAATGGGGATAAATTTTCTGGGCAAGCTAAGATGTCCTGTAACGATAGAGGGATAGACTGACATTTTTTCAAGAGCCGGTCTATTAGTAAGTAGCAGTGGCTGAATGTTGATCGCAGGACATGAAAAGAAGATGCTGGCAGTATGGCTTAGACGCCTTAGCCTGCTCCGAAGGAAGAAAACTACTACTACTCTGTGAATGTCTTAGATGGAAAAAAATAAAAAGGAGAATACTCGTATTTTGACTTTGACAGAACATTGACTTTAGCGTTGGCATAACTTATTTATACAACATGTATCAACACCGTACGGATGATTTACGAAGAGAGTAATTCCTTCTGCAACGAGGTGAATGATAGCCAGTGTAGCTATCCACTTCGGTGCTGAATGGTTTCTTACAATTAAAATAAAGATTTCAATATAATACGCATCCCAGCAAACTTTATGAGAAGCAGTAAAGTGATGTGAATAATAATATTTCCGAAATCCCCAATTTTGCCTACAACGATTACAAAGCAAGTACAGAGTTATACTTCGTTTTTTTTATACCACACTCTATGTTACTGCATATGAACACATAGAACCATGCACGTTATACAAGTGCCCAAATACACCAAATATAACAAACAAAATGTAGTCTCAGTCTGTCTACTACCTCGAAGGGTATCATCGTCAAACAAAGTCAAGTCCAAGTAAGTTTTTGCTAAAGACAGTCATCGGTAGGACTGAACAAAAGGGGACACCGTGGAAACGGCACTTCGAAATTTTTTATTTTGTTAAAATTATTTGTTTTTAAAGTTTCAGTTTAATTTTTAATCGACTTCAAAAAAAGGAGCACGGTCTCTATTCGACTGTATTTTTTTTATGTGTGTTGCGCGGTAACTCTTGTGTTTGTGAACCGATTTTGATAATTCTTTTTTTGCTGGAATGAAGGTACCTCAGTAGTGGTCCCATTTCAAAGAAAATATTCCTCCTCTGAGTGCCGAGTGTGGCAAACTAGGGGATGAATGACTTTTGAGGCCGGTTTTTTAGTACTCTATACTGACATTCTCTCTCAAAGTATCGACCGCAGAGGAACTTGAAACAAGCATTTAAAATTAATTTTTATCAAAATTAAAGATTTATCGAAATTTTTCTTACGTTCTGACCTTATAGTACATTTTAAAAATCCGAGCAATGTTCTGGATAATTATTGGCTATAGAAAACAAATATATTATAAGAATATTTAAAAAGTCATCGAAATTTTTCTATTTCATTTCCGTAGTGCCCCTTTCGCTTCATTCTGACCAATCATGCCTTTATAGTCTGTTATTACTGATTATACATTTATAATATTTGATTCGATAAAAGCCTAGAACCTTTTAGCAGTGTGATAATCATAGATAAGATCAACGCCAAGCTTATATTGAAATTTGTTAACAGACAACAAGAGTATGAAGCCCGCTTCGTCAGAAGAAGCATTCCAGGACGAATCCCATTCAGGTACGTATAATGTAATAAAAAATAAGCACTAAAATCAAAATACAAAGAATAAAATAAATTAAAAAGTCCAAATCTTTGTAAACGCAATGCGTCCATAAAGTTTTAAATTAGTACGTCAAAAACGAAGCCTGAAGAAAACTGATAGCAATATCAAAAGCAGAGATACGGAGAGAGAAAGTACATGAACTAATAACAAATGTCACTGAAAAGGAACGGTTGGCGGAGTTAATAGAACGATTTGAAGAAGCAAAAGAACAAAACGATTGGGTGAGAAAATAAGTCATACAACCGGTTAATTTAATGATAATTTTATTACTCTCACAATGCTTACTTAAGACTACAGAGTTTTGTTACTGTTATATACATTGTGAGAGTCTGGTGTCAGTACTAGAGTTACATCCCTGTATGACTTATGACCAGGCTCCTTTTATGCTAAAGTTAACTACTCCTCTTATTAATTCCAGCTCGGAGAAGTTTTGCAAAAGTTAAGCAGAATAGGAAAAACTTATAAAAGTAGGTAAGAAAATTTTAAAGACAGACAGGTGTGCGTGCTTCTGCCGTCAACATGATACCCATACATTCTGCCTGGCTGGAATATTGTGTTGTAGTCACCAAGCGGTGTTGATATTGATATCCTGATAATGAGATCTTCTGAGAATACCCCAGTACCTATTCTTGAATTTGTTTTTGATCCATCAGTGAAGACCGCACCTCTTCACAATTGTATCTTGTATTTTTTGTCAAAAATGTATTGTTTTGGGATCCTACCCACAGCCACCTCCAGTAGCAGTTCCTCATTGACAGTCTTATAAAGGATTTCTGTATGTGAGTCCTCATGTGCTTCCAAAGGCCGGCTCTTGAGACGCACTGGTGTTGACGCCGCTTCTTGTCTGATGAACAGTGGGAGAGGTCGCAGGTCCAGCATCGCTTCGAGGGCCGCAATTGGAGTTGTACCCATGCAGCTGGTCATCGCCAAGCCAGATAGTCTATGGAATTTGTCCAGCTTGTCATTTGCGGTCGTCAGTTTGGTTCGTGGCCACCATACTATCGCGTCGTAACTGATCTTATCACCGCTGTGTAGAGCCATCTTGGGTGAAAGTCTCCATTGTTTATACCTACCATCTATGGCACTGCCAGAAGGTGATGGTAGCTTTTTTTTATTTTATTGTCCAGATGCTTGCTCCAGTTCAACTTGTTGTCCAGTATTACACCCCCAGGTACTTGACTTCGGTTGATAACTGTAGTTCTGATAGTCACAGCGTTATGCGCCGTGCGTAGGCGCAGCAGCAAGTGCGACAGTTACGTCTAGTTTATATTTTTAATTCAATCAACAGCACAGAGCAGGTGATGTCACT